AATATATATGTAACGTCTCAGTTTCTGTCAAGTTCCTGCTTCCCTTTCTTACAAGTCAGCCTTAATGGCTCTTTGCCAATATCTCCGCTCATAAAAGAATGCGCGTCATCGAACAAACATTCGAAAATAAGAGATGAAGTCGCTATCGGATGCATCGCTCTTTTTTTTTCGGACAAAGGCGCTGCATGGCTTTCGTCTCCGGTGGCGGAGGAGGCCTTCCACCGCAGCCAGGGGTTCCAACTCCTGGAGGCTCGAATGGGCCTCCCGTTGCAGTCCAAACGCCGACCGCCACTCAGCTAGCCGCTCACCAACAGTTGTCTGCTTTGGCAGGCAGTCAACAATTCCTGGTAAGGATTTTTTCTCTCATTCACTCCATCACTTCACACTATCATTCTTCCCAAGTCATTGAACGATCACATTTGAACGTGAAAGGCAGTTGACATATACGAAAGCTGCCAATGTGTTACAGTATGTATCATCAGCGTGCAGATCTAATTGCTTTGATTGCGAACAAACAAATTTACATCTTCACTTCGTCTTTAGCTTTTCTTACAATATTTTCGCGACGTGCCGCGCAACTTTCAGTATCATGGTTGTTTGCAGATGCTTACCAATTTGCCTACGTTTTACGTTAATTGGCAGTTTTGCTCAGAATGTCTGGGAAAAGAATTAGTCTTGGCTTAGCTCCCACCTCAAACAATGTTTCTTGCCTAAAGTTGTTGTATATTGCTCTTTACTTGAAGAATAATTTGGTTTGCACCCGTAATTGAGTCTAAATAGCATATACGTGAGTATTTTCCGGTAAGGTTCTGCATTGCTCCAGATGATTCCATTTTGGCAATCTGCCAGCTTCTGCAAGATATCGTGGCTGTCGTCACTCTCGGTGACCAAGAAACAAGCCCTGCTGTTTTCCCATTATGCACATCGGCGCACCTTAATTTTCAGTTTGGCTGCTGTCCAACTGATTTTGACGCTAACCATTTACATTACCCTTGTTCTTTTCATCTTCAACATCTCGATAGCTTACGCTTTGCTATGTACATAAGATGTGCACTGTTTTTGCGCCTGCTAACGGTATTTCGCAAATTTCACAGCATTGCAACTTCTACAACCATCGCTTAGCGTCGCGGTTCTCTAGCATTGTCATTCATATCACCTTGAAATAGGCCAGTCAGCAGCGGCAATTGGCAGACGATGTGAGTTCATTGATGTCTCCGCAGTGAGCTGTGAGCGAAAAACGCAATCTTGTGCGGATCAAAGATCATTCGCTCGGCTGCTTGCCTTACTGCGGGTGCGTAAGAGAGCTGACATCCCCTCTTACAACACACAGCGTTCGTCAAAATCGTCATCTTGTGGGCGCCTTCCAGATGACGCGGAAGCCGCTATTGAGTGGCGCCGAGGTGATTCCACTTTCACTCATACTAATTCATTCCATAATGAAAATGTTGTGCGAGTAAGGAATCGCATATCTTCAATTGATTTCTGTCTACAACATTGTCATCATTGTACTTCTTTTGCGACTTTGCGGCCGATTCACAATCACCTCATTCCTTTCCCTGTCCCAAACTCCTCTAAGTCGCAGGTAATCTAGTGCTCATAGATTCAGGGAGGCTTCCGATGTCTCCGTCAATCCATGACGATTTGCAGCCGAGGTGTATGAGCGTGGCTGGCGCCCGTACTGTTTACGACTTTTTGATCAGCGCCCAACTGCGTAACAATAAGTGCATCATCCCGTCATCGCGAGGCGACAGCGGTTCAACACTACAAAAACCTCGTGCTTCTCGCATGAGTCCAGCATCTACTTCAATGCATCTGTTGCGTGTCGTGATCTCCCTGATCTTTACCCCTTATGGCCAAGTATGAACCGTCAACTGGCTGGGCACAACGACATCGATTGCGATGCAACTGCCAAAGCGCTAGCGCTCGGCAATGAGGAGATGCTCGCAGCTTGATACCGCTGCGTTTGGACGTCATCTACTCACTCGCAAATGCCCAGGTGTCGTCTGCATGCAATAAAGCGAGAAGTAGAGAAAGTAGAGGGAGGTGAGGGAGAGAGGGCGCGGGCGATGATTAGTTGGCGTGGAGCGCATGGCTGCTGTCACTACCCGATGTTCGAGCATCGCCAGCGCAGGAGCATAGCGAACTCTGAGCAACAAGCATTGGCATCTCCTTTGCCTTGACCAAGTTGATTTTAGTGATGCGCGAACAATAGCGCTAGTAAATTGCGCACAAACATAAGATGTAACAATGCTGTTTTAAATAAGTAAGCACATTTCAGGACGCTCTACTTCAACAACAGCTTCAGCAACAACAGCAAGCCGCTGCTCAGGCCAATACTCAAAGTCCTTCATCGCAGCTGGTGAGTTTAGTAAAAACTCACAGATCTGCACACATCGAAAGCTCAAACTGTGCTTCTTATTCCCGGATAAAGCGCCAAAACATGTTTACTAGTATATCAAGATCTATTGCGGCTCCTCTTGTTCTAGCACTCGCTATCTCTTCTAAGGTTTTCCTTAAGGTAAGCCATCTGCTGGCCACCGCATTGTTGGGTGGGTCAAATCCCCTTGCCGTGAACCAAATGGCCAGTGGTGGCTCATCTTCAACAGTAGAACCACAAGGAATGCAGTTGCTGTCAGTGTTGCAAAACCAACTGGCTTTTGGTCAACTTCTTCCTCAGTTTCAGGTCTGCTTGCTTGTATTTCTTCTTCTAATATCGGTGATGGCATTCAATTTCCAGAGTGGGCAGAATCTCGGCGCAATCAATCCGCTTCTTAATCCAGCTATAGCGCTCTACTACCAACAGCTCTTGCAACAACAGCAGCAACAGCAAACATTACTGCAACAGCTAGCACAGCAACAGATCCCTCAAGCCCAAGCTGTGCAAGTTCCTCAGGCCCATGCCTTCCAACCTCCAGCTCAAGGTATCCGATGAGTACCCCTTTCACCGCCGATTTATCGTTTGTTGCTGTTCCCAATATGCCACCATGCTTTACAGTGTCGTCGGGAAATGTGGAGTCGCAGTTGAGCGCACAGGAGCGGCTCATGAGCGCCTATCTGAGCGAGCAACAACAACAACAAGCCGGTACTTTTAGCATCTCAAATAGAGATCAGGAGTCAACCCTACTGGTAAGTTCATCATATCCTTCTTATGATTGGTTTTCTGGTCTGCCGTCAAGATTTGAAAGACCATTGTGGGAGAAAAAGGTTGCGCTCAGCTTTGTTCATGCAAATAGCGAGTGCACATGACGTCGCTTCGTCATCTCGCATTTCGTAATCCGGAGTTCCGATGCTCACATCAACTGGTTTAATTTTAAAGAGAAAAAACTTCAAAGGTCTTTGGTGCGATAGAGGTACTGTAGTTGCATATGGGATAATGTTCTTCACTATATTACGGGATAAATGATAGTGTTTTTGAGATCTGCTTGACATTATGCGTGGGCAGCAGCTTTTGCCTTGAATAGCTTGTTTGGTAAACACGTTGCAAACAGTGCCCTTCTTGAAACTTCTTTTAGAATCATCAAGTTGCAAGTGGTGGACACGCGCAACATGTGCAGCACCATCACGATCGGGCTTCCGTCGGGACCACCAGAAGTTTGGGCGCTGTCGCGAGTGGCAGTGCCGACATGGAGTCAGCGGAGGAAAGGATTAACCGACTGATCAGTGAAAACGAAGCGATTGTCCAACCACATCAGGTGTCGATTTTAGTTCATTTATTCGCTGCATGATACCCAGCTCTACGTCAAAGCATCATTCCAAGA